TTTAAATAAATTGAAAGAACTCATTCATTGTATGTAATGTAGACTTTGCACTAGACTTCAGTGGTCAGATACATGATAGTTCCCTTTTGCTGCTTCTTTGGTCAATACCAATTTAATATTTTGGACTTTAAAGTAATATCTATATTTTGTTATTAAGTGATCAACCAGTGTAAACTACCAAAACATAAGATCCCACGCTTTTTAGAAGATGAAGGATTCTATGTTCAGAGAAAGCCAGAAATATACAAAAAGACCTGCAACAAAATGGAACATCGCCTGGTTAACCTAGAGGAGGTAAAGTTCACTAGCTAACAAGCATAACAGCTCACTGAATAGTATGTGACATTTGTTTTAGTGACATGCCTAATGGCTATATTTCTTAAATATTTTGATAGGGAAAGTGTTGGTTTGAAGAAAGTGGAGAAATAATGTCATTACCTTCGCCTATTAGACAGTCGTGGAATTTCAGACTAAACATAATCAAGGAATCTTTAAATCCAGCGCTAAAGACCATCTACAGGAAGGTAACCAACAACAGTGGTTAGAATTCCTGTAATATCAATTACAGGTTATGTTTCTGCGCTATTAATTCACCCTTTAAAGATACTAGTAAGTCTAGTAATAAAATGGCAAAACTTCCCCATTAAAATTATGTTTTCGAGTAATATTTAACAATATGGGGAAATGCTCAAAATAAAATGTGAAGTGGAAAAAAGCAGAATGTAAAACTGCATCATCTTAATTTTATAAAAATAGATGAATGAATTAATGAAATTACCAATGAATGGATAATTTTACATATATGTATATGTGTAGATAGACTGGAAAAATATATCAAAGTAATTATCTCTGGATAGTATGATATAGGATTATTTTTATTTCTTCCTTATACTCTATTTTCTAAATTTCAAAAATGAATATATATCATACTTACAAAGAAACAAATTTATATGTATTCCAAAAGGCATTATGGAAATTAGTAGTCCATTAACCTAATGAGAAGTCCATTAACCTAATGAGAAGTAGTATTTGGAGGGATTTATTAAAAAATTGACTTGGACAATTTTGATCAGAACTATGTACAAAACTTAATTCCCCATTCACTTACTGCCTTGGTTGCCTTAGCCATTCAATATATAGGAAATATGACTGTAAGTAGATACAAAATAGAAATAGTACCTACTCAAAATATTTCAGGAGTTTGTTCTTTATTCCCTCTATTGCTTTAAATCTATGAATAGCTTCTATGTTTCTAGCAATTATATGCCATCTGTAGTTAGTGTTTTTTCTTTAATTGCTGTATCCCCTATTTCAGTAGCTGCAACATTTTAACAGCAAGAGCACTTAGTTCCTTATGAGGTTGATACTTCTCAGCTTGAGAGAAAATGAGGTTTCTCCCTAAACTGATGAGATTTATACTTTTGGAGGTCTGGTCTGTGAGAATCTTCTCTATATATGATATATGCTCTCTTTTCTTCCCCACAGTTTGTATTTCTTTCTCAGAGAATCTAGAAAAATTTTTTGAAATCTTTCTTGTATTGTAATATGTTCTTCATTCCTTTAAATTGCTTAGAAATTTCTCTCAAGATCTCTAAAAGATTACCAAAGCCTTTTGTTCTTTCAGGATCCAATACTTTTTGCTGCTAAGAAAACCTTTTATTCCTTTACCATACAAAATGCCTCTAAGGTTGAATTATTTTTCCCACTTTTATAGATGGAAGACATATATAATTTTCTACCAGACCTTCAGATAATCTGATAAGCAGAATTCTATCCAACCTAAAGCAAAGAAACTTAACACTTTAATGACACTGTATAATTAGGTCCTTGGTCTTTTTGTCTTTTCCTTCAGTACTTTATCTTATAATCATCTTAATCCAATCATATTAAACTGGTATCAACTGGGTTGCAATTTTGTTAAGGCTCAATCTGTATCTACCATATCTTCTGTTGACCTAATCTCTTGGCTGCTTGAGTGTAAGCAGAGTAAGGTTTTCTTCTTTTTTTTTTGTTAAATCAATTGCTAACATATATCCAATGCTTAGCATACAGTACACACTCAGTGAATGCTTATATTATTTGTAATGGAACCTATCACCTCAGTAGACGTAAGCTTTTAGGATCCTAGTATAATTTAGAAGAGAAAGACACCAGTTGACTGGCATAATCTTAGAAAATCTTATATTCTGCATGGTACCTATCATACCATGAGAGACTGGCAGTATCTCTGCCCCATCCTAATTCATAGTATAACACATTTACCTATATTCTATAAATGATTCCCCCATACACACCCACACACCCAGTATTGCAAAATATTTCTGTTTTCCCCAGTGTGGTTACTATAAAAAACTATCTCAATTAAAAAATAGAAATAAAAAGATAAAAGAGGAAGGAGGGAAAATCCCTGGTAAATTTATCTTATCTTGTTATATGGCATAACTTTTATGCTTTATGGTGATGATGTGTTTTATCTAAACTTTTGCTCAAGATATAACAGATATTTTAACATAATTATCTCAGACTATTGCTCTTGGGGAGAGAGGTCCTTAAAACAATGGCATTTTGTTGAATGAATGGGATATCAGCAAAGGGATGATAACAAGTAAATGCAAAAGCTGAAACTGGGGGGAGAAATATTAACCACCATCCAGATTAACCCTTGTAACCATCTAGAATCCTAAATTCGAAACTATTGGGTTAAACAAGTAATTTTTTCCACCAGTACATCTGTTCTAATTTCTACCAAGCACAATTTCAGTATTTCATAGACCCTTAAGAATTGGGAATAAATGTGTCACTTCACCAACCATCTAAACTGAGTGTTAAAATTAATTCCGTAGCATCCTTAACAGATAATGTTTGGGAATTTGTGTAAGACAAAATGCTTCTGCCTGCCTTTCCCTATCTTCTCCACATTTTTTACTCTGCCCAGCCAACCTTGGAAACAAGGATCATTTGGGGTTTCTAACCAGAGTAAAAGAAAGGAAGTGCAACTGAAGTGGAGATAATAGCTGCCTGAGTGTCAGAATCTTCTCTTTGCCATTGTCTCTGCTAGGTACTCTGATACCCTATTGTACTTCTGCTGCCCCAGGTCTTATCTGCCTGTTATTTGCTGACTAGTTTTGCCTGATCATTTGACTATGCCCTAAATACTCCCTCTTCTAGCACTCCTCTTATATATTTACACAGATTTTTCTCATGTCATCAGGTTGGATGTTTTTGGACTTTTATCTGGCCTTTGATTCATTGTTGCCTAGATCTTTGTGCTTTTGGTCTAACACACTTGTCTTGTTCTAGAAGTTTACTTAACCTGCTCAGTCAACTGCTGCTTATAGCTTGTGTGTTAGGGAGCTTACTACCTCCTGAGAGAAGTCATTCCAGTATTAGCCAGTTCTAATTGCTTATGGTTTTTGATGTTGAATTAAAATCTGCCTCCTGGATCACTACTACTCATTTGACCTTGTTTGGCCATAAAGTACTAAGAAAGTACTTCACTTATGTGACATCTCAAATATTTGAAGCTTGTTACCTCTACCTTTAGCTTCTGCTCTCCAGGCTACACTCACTTGCTTTGACTATTGTCAGCTAAGGAGCACCATCTTAGTTACCTTCCTCCAGCTTCTGAGCATCACAGTCAGTAGATACTGAATAGGACAGGACCAAGAGCAGAAGTTTGTGTCACTCCAATAGAAACTCAAAGAAGTAAGCAACGCAGCTATTTGATCAGTGCTGAATCTGTTTACCAACATAGACATCTCTAGCTTAGAAGCTTTAATTTCTAAAAGTTCACTTATAATTTGTTTACAACTGAAACTGTTTATTTCCTTGATGTTTTTCCTGGTAATGACCAAATTACTACCAATTAAGTAAATCTTATGGGTGGAATCAAGAGCAGATTTTCCTCTGTGAGTTTGCCCTTACAGAGAGAATAGAGTCTTACCAGATAAGGATAAAACAAAAATGCACTTTATGGCTTTCTCTTGCCTCCCCTCAACTCAGTGAAGAAAAAGAGGAAGATTCATAGCTCAGGAAAGAGTAGGGAGGGAGACATACAGGTCTCATACTGGTGACCTCTAGTCCTTAAGAAGCCCTGGATCTGCTACACAAGGTCAGGGGTAGGACAGAAGTATTTTCAGTGTAACAGCAGGTATAATAACAATGGCACAGACTAGAGGGCCTGTTCTATTACACCAGACTGATCCAGAGAGGGAGTTCATGCTCTCCTTCTAAGGTGGATGCAGTCATGGCTCTTAATAGGAGTGGCTAGGCATTTGTGAATTAGGCTGTACATTCTAAGTAATCTGCTAACCTTCTCAAATTACATTACTAAAAACCGGTCACATGCATATTCGAGCAAATGTGCTTAAATTCAAAGTAATATACTAAAAATATAGTCAAAATCATTTTGCATGTAATCTAAGACCTACAGACTTCATCGGATTTAGGGGCAATCTGGTATTCAAATAGAGATAGCTCCATGTGTAAGAAAAGATGGTCTCCTTATAAGGAGTAATAATAGTAATACTATATTTGCTTAGATGGTCTAGGCTGCTTCAGGGAATTTTCCAGGGGAGTACCAGCATATCCACTATGGGCAATGCTTTAAGAAGGGTTTTACCATTAACTCTTGCACACAGATGACAATTAAGTCATTATATAGTCAAACTATTGATCCAACAATTCTAAATACAATTTGTCATTAGTGTTCCTATAGGAAATTATTTTGGGGCTTATAACTTGAAAGTCCAACCTTTACCAGCACATAGTAAGGTAGGTGACAATTTATAGCAAGGTGTAAAATACTGTAATATGAATATATTTTATGAAATCAAGAGCCATAATCAATTTCAAGGAAGAAGGATCAAATTACTGTTCTTTGCTTTTCTGTATCTCTTAATTTTCTTACAATTAACATGTTACTTTTATAAGGAAAAGTGACTTGTTTTTCAAAAGAAATAGAATCAGATTAACACTGTGAACTTATTTTTCTTTCAAAGGCTGTGAAATCTGATCCAGAAAGCTCTATTAAAAAAAAAATTGAAGGCCAAAGGGAAATGTACCAATTAGATCTCAACATTGTGGGCTTGCAATTCAGCCATCATCCTCTCTTCAATCAAGAACAAGTATTATGTGCTAGGCTGCTCCAACTTTATGAGTGTTTTCAGGACAGACAGCAACAGAATTTGTCTCAGCTGCTCTATGAGAAGGTGAGAATAGCTCTCATTATATTTCTAGAGCTGAACATTTAATATTGAAAGAAAAACTTCTTAGCATAGAGCATGTTATCTTAGAACTTTCTCCCTCAGCACTTTTAATATTTAACCAGTTAGAACAATGGTTGATTTCAGTTTTTCTGAAAAAAAACTGTAAGAGTTGACTGGCAGGGAAGTAACCTCAAACATACCCTGCAGGATATTTAGCACTTATAAGTGGTTTACTAGTAAATAGTGTTCTTGGTCCTAAGAATCAAGAAGAGTAATTGTAATGATTATTACTCAAGAGGCATATGGCTGTTTTAAGTCTTGTAATAACGTATTTTTGATAAAAATATTAGAGATCTTGAATCTTATATCAAATGTGAAGAGTCTTGGTCTGAGAATGATTGATCCAAATAGTTATCTGATGACATCATAAAGTGTATATAAAGTTTGAGGATAAATCAGAGGAGTACCCACTAGTTATTTTTATGAATTTGTACCTGTCATTTAAACTTCCTGCTGGGTTTCTGATACATGAACATTTTGTTAACTAGTGTTTTCTCTGCAGATGTTTTGGTAAGTGTCATTCAGCTAATGAATACATTTGAAAAATAAATACTTAGTGAGGTATTTAATTAAACATTTAAGCCTGATAGAGTCACCAAGATATTCCAGTAAGTTGGAAATAAACTGTATTGTAATATGTTTGCTTTTTAAAGTACAAGTGCAAAACTCACAGGACTTAATTGACTTGAATCTTCATATAGCAGTTGTCTGGGGTTCTATCAGAGAAAGAACATGCATTAGTATTATCAGAATATGTCCTTAAACAAATATTGCATATTCTAACTTTTAGTGTAATATAGCCATTGTTTTTATGAATGAAGGGACCAACTCTTAAATTCAGATGTAGGTCACTGAAAAAGTGATTTGATATATAGATTTCCACTTTAATTTTTCAACAGTATTATATAATCTTTAAAGTCTGATCTAGCATTGTCTATTTTATTTCATTAGACTACTATCTATTAATGTATGTAAAACTCTAAATTTATTTTTCAGGTAGCATGGTACTGTATATATAAAGACACTACATTTATTTTTCAGGTAGCATGGCTGTCTATAAAGAGATCCCAAAATATTTTGGGATCATTATAACATGTTTAGTATTACTATTATTGTTATTATTATTATTATATATGCTTAGGAGCCATAAGCAACTTAATTGATTTTTACTCTTCAGCTTATTCTTTTACATGCTTATAAACATTTTCTCCAATCTTCTGGTAAATTGTAAAAAGAGAAATTTGGTAGTCATGTGCATGCTCTTCTTTCTGAAGAAGAGCAGTGGGGAGTAGGAGAAAAGGCCAGCTGCTCAGAGTGTATTCATTGGTCTCCTACCAAAATGCTGACTTAAAATTTATGTATCCTTTTAGTCCTTGGTGTGAAATGTGTGACTGCTTATTCCTGGTGTGTTCAGAGAAGTGGCAGACTCACTGGCATCCAAGGAATTCTTAAAATGGAATATGTCCTTTCATATGAGTCTGAATCCCATTTAAAGAGCAAGGAGAAATGTTGCAGACGGTGTGAGAGAGTAGAAGGGATCCTTGGCTCTGCAGACTTCTGCTAATTTTTCCTCTAGCTTTTTTTTTTAATTACACAAGTAATACAAGAATACTTTCCCACTGGAAAACATTCCAGGTAGAACTTTCTAAGTATGAAAGCCCCACTTCATTCTTCACCTGTTGGTTTAGAGTACAATCTTAAAATTCTCTTTTCCATTGGATCTCTGTATGTAAATAGCCATGATAATTTTTAACATAAACTGGATCTTCCCATATGTATTATTTGGGAACATGGGCTTTTAAAATTAATACTGTATCTTGGAGCTTTTTCCATATCACTGCATATAGACCCATTAATATACTTATATTTTAATGTTTAATTACTCTACATTCATGACATGTAGAGCTCTAATTTTTTAAATTACAAGTAATGAAGCAAGGAACATTCTTGTATATTATTTCTGTAGGCTAAGATTCCTAGAACTGAAATTGCTTGGTTAAGAGTAAGGATACATGAAGTTTAAATTTTGTTAGAGAGGGATGAATTGCCTTTCCAAAAAGGTTTTTCCAATTTGAATTTCCACTGACAGTACAGGACAGAACCCACTTCCTAGAGTCCTTACCAATATGCCCATTTTTCTGTTGCATTGTTTTTCTTTAATTGCTAGGTAAGAATTTTCACATACATATATGTAATGGGTATAAGTCCATGAAAGATATATGTCTTTTGAATATGTTTTATGTATTTTTGTCTGATTCTGCTACTTTACTTATTTATTTATATTATGGTATCATTGATATACACTGTTTTAAAGTATCACACGAAAAACATTGTGTTTACTACATTCACCCATTATAACAAGTCCCCCCAACACGCCATTGGAGTCACTGTCCACCAGTGTAGTAAGAAGCCACACAGTCACTACTTGTCTTCTCTGTGCTACACTGTCTTCCCTATGACCTCCCCCACCAACAAAATGTGTGCCAGTCATAATACCCCTCAATCCCCTTCTCCCTCCCTCCCATCCTACCCTCCCACAACCCTGCCCTTTGCTAACTGTTAGTCCATTCTTGGTGTCTGTGAGTTTGCTGTTTTGTACAATTGGTTTTGCTTTGTTGTTACACTCCATAAATGGGCAAATCATTTGATACTTGTCTTTCTCCACATGGCTTATTTCACTGAGCATAATACCCTCTAACTCTATCCATGTTGTTGCAAATAGTAGGATTTGTTTTCTTCTTATGGCTGAATAATATTCCATTGTGTATGTTTACTACATCTTCTTTATGCATTCATCTACCAATGGATACTTAGGTAGCTTCCATGTCTTGGCTATTGTATATAGTGCTGCAGTAAACATAGGGGTGCATATGTCTTTTTGAAAATGGGATCTTGTTTTCTTTGGGTGAATTCTTAGGAGTGGAATTCCAGGGTCAAATGGTATTTCTATTTTTAGTTTTTTGAAGAACCTCCATAATGCTTTCCACAATGGTTGAATTAATTTACATTTCCACCAACAGTGTAAGAGGGTTCCTCTTTCTCTGCAACCTCATGAGCATTTGTTTTTCCTTGTCTTTTCAATGTTGGCCATCCTAACTGGTGTGAGGTAATATCTTATTGTGGTTTTAATTTGCATTTCCCTGATAATTAGCGATGAGGAACATCTTTTCATATACCTGTTGGCCATCTGAATTTCTTCTTTGGAGAAGTGTCTGTTCATATGCTCCACCCATTTTTTAATTGGGTTATTTTCTTTTTGGGTGTTGAGGCATCTGAGTTCTTTATGTATTTTGGATGTTAACCCCTTGTTGGATGTGTCATTTACGAATACATTCTCCCATACTGTATGATGCCTTTTTGTTCTGCCGATGGTGTCCTTTGCTGTACAAAAGCTTTTGTTTGATGTAGTCCCACTTGTTCATTTTTACTTTTGTTTCCCTTGCCTGAGGGGATGTGTTCAGGAAAAAGTTGCTCATGTTTATGTCCAAGAGATTTTTGCCTATGTTTTTTTCTAAGAGTTTTATGGTTTCATGACTTACATTCAGGTCTTTGATCCATTTCAAGTTTACTTTTGTGTATGGAGTTAGACAATAATCCAGTTTCATTCTCTTGCATGTAGCTGTCCAATTTTGCTAACAGCAGTTGTTGAAGAAGCTATCATTTCCCCATTGTATGTCCATGGCTTTTTTATTGTATATTAATTGCCTTTATATGCTTGAGTTGATATCTGAGCTCTCTTTTCTGTTCCACTGATGTATGGGTCTGTTCCTGTGCCAGTAACAAATTGTCTTGATTATGTGGCTTTGTAGTACAGCTTGAAGTCACAGAGCATAATCCTCCCTGCTTTATTCTTTCTTCTCAGGATTGCTTTGGCTATTCAGGGTCTTTTGTGGTTCCGTATGAATTTTAGAACTATTTGTTCTAGTTCATAAAGAATGCTGTTGGTATTTTGATAGGGATCGCATTTGAATCTGTAGATTGCTTTAGGCAGGATGGCCATTTTGATGATTTTAATTCTCCCTATCCATGTGGATGAGATGTATTTCCATTTATTGGTGTCTTTAATTTCTCTCATGAATCTCTTGTAGTTTTAAGAGTCTTTCACTTCCTTGGTTAGGTTTATTCCTAGGTATTTTATTCTTTTTGATGCAGCTGTGAATGGAATTGTTTTCCTCATTTCTCTTTCTGCTAGTTCATCATTAGTGTTATAGGAATACAGCAGATTTCTGTGTATTAATTTTGTATCCCACAACTTTGCTGAATTCAGATATTAGATCTCATAGTTTTGGAGTGGATTCTTTAGGGTTTTTTATATACAATATCATGTCATCTGCAAACAGGGACAGTTTAACTTCTTCCTTAGCAATTTGGATGCCTTTTATTTCTTTGTGTTGTCTATTTGCTGTGGCTAGGGCCTCCACAACTATGTTGAATAAAAGTGGGGAGAGTGGGCATCCTTGTTTTGTTCCTGATTTTAAAGGAAAAGCTTTCAGTTTCTCATTGTTAAGTATGATGTTAACTGTGAGTTTGTCATACGTGGTGTTTATTGTGTTGAGGTACTTGCCCTCTATACCCATTTTGTTGAGAGTTTTTGTCATGAATGGATGTTGAATTTTGTCAAATGCTTTTTCAGCATCTATGGAGATGATCATGTGGTTTTTGTTCTTCTTTTTCTTGATGTGGTGTATGATGTTGATGAATTTTCTAATATTGTACCATCCTTGCATCCCTGGAAGAAATCCTACTTGATCATGATGGATGATGTTTTTGATGTATTTTTTAATTCAGTTTGCTAATTTTTTGTTGAGTATTTTTGCATCTATGTTCATCAGGGATATTGGTCTGTAATTTCCTTTTTTTGTGGTGTCTTTTTCTGGTTTTGGTATTAGAGTGATGCAGGCCTTATAGAATGAGTTTGGAAGTATTGCCTCCTCTTCTAGTTTTTGGAAAACTTTAAGGAGAATGGGTATTAGGTCTTCACTAAATGTTTGATAAAATTCAGTGGTGAAGCTGCCTGGTCCAGGGGTTTTGTTCTTTGGTAGATTTTTTTATTACCAGTTCAATTTCATTGCTGATAATTGGTCTGTTCAGATTTTCTGTTTCTTCCTGGGCCAGTCTTAGAAGGTTGTCTTTTTTTAGAAAGTTGTCCATTTCTTCTAGGTCATCTAATTTGTTAGCATATAATTTTCATAGTATTCTCTAGTAATTGTTTATATTTCTGTATTGTCTGTAGTGATTTTTCCTTTCTCAGTTCTGACTCTCTTTATGTGTGTAGACTGTCTTTTTCTCTGGATAAGTCTGGCTAGGGGTTTATCTATTTTGCTAATTTTCTCGAAGAACCAGCTCCTGCTTTCATTGTTTCTTTCTACTGTTTTATTCTTCTCTATTTTATTCATTTCTCCTCTAACCTTTATTATGTCCCTCTACTGACTTTGAGCCTCATTTCTTCTTCTTTTTCTAGTTTCATAAATTGTGAGGTTAAACTATTTATATTGGATTGTTCTTCTTTCCTGAAGTAGGCCTGCATTGTAATATACTTCCCTCTTAGCAGAGCCTTCTCTGTGTCTCACAGATTTTGTGGTGTTGAGTTATTGTTTTAATTTGTCTCCATATATTGCTTGATCTCTGTTTTAATTTGGTCATTTATCCATTGATTACTTAGGAGCATGTTGTTAACCTTCATGTGTTTGTGGGCTTTTTTGTTTTCTTTGCATAATTTATTTCTAGTTTCATACCTTTGTGGTCTGAGAAGATGGCTGGTACAATTTCAATCCTTCTGAATTTACTGAGGCTCTTTTTGTGGCCTAGTATGTGGTCTATTCTTGAAAATGTTCCATGTGCACTTGAGATGAATGTGTATCCTGCTGCTTTTGGGTGGAGTGTTTTGTAGATGTCTCTTAGGTCCATCTGTTCTAATGTGTTGTTAGGGCCTCTGTTTCCTAATTTATTTTCTGTCTGGTTGATCTGTCCTTTGGAGCAAGTGGAGTGTTGAAGTCTCCTAAAATGAATGTGTTGCATTCTATTTCCCCCTTCAATTCTGTTAGCATTTGTTTCACATATGTAAGTGCTCCTATGTTGGGTGCAAAGATATTTATAATGGTTATATCCTCTTGTTGGACTGACCCCTTTGTCATTATGTAATGTCCTTCTTTGTGTCTTGTTGCTTTCTTTGTTTGAAGTCTATTTTTTTCTGATACAAGTACTGCAACTGCTGCTTTTTTCTCCCTATTAGTTGCATGAAATATCTTTTTCCTTCTCTTTACTTTTAATGTATGTATGTCTTTTGGTTTGAAGAGAGTCTCTCGTAGGCATCATATTGATGTGTCTTGTTTTTTTATCCATTCGGTGACTTTACGTCTTTTGATTGGTGCATTCAGACCATTTACATTTAGAGTGATTATTGATAGATATGTACTTACTTCCATTGCAGGCTTTAGATAAGTGGTTACCAAAGGTTTAAGGGTAACTTCTTTACTATCTAACAGTCTAACTTAATCACTTAGCATGCTATTACAAACACAATCTAAAGCTTCTATTTTTCTTCCTTCTTCTTCCTCCTCCATTCTTTATATATTATATATTTGACAAAAAAAATATATATTTTTATATCCCTTGACTGACTTTGCAAGTAGTTGATTTGATTTTGCATCTCCTTAATAATTAATTGGTCTGCTTTCTTTACTGTGGTTTTATATTTCTCTGGTGACAGCTATTTAGCCTTAGGAATACTTCCATCTATAGCAGTCCCTCCAAAATACACTGTAGAGACAGTTTGTGGGAGGCAAATTCTCTCAACTTTTGCTTATCTGTAAATTGTTTTATCTCCCCTTCAAATTTAAATGATAATCTTGCTGGGTAGTATGTTCTTGTTCGAGGCCCTTCTGTTTCATGGCATTAAATATATCATGCTACTCCCTTCTGGACTGTAAGGTTTCTGTTGAGAAGTCTGATGATAGCCTGATAGGTTTTTCTTTGTATGTGATCTTTTCTCTCTGGATGCTTTTAAACTCTGTCTTTGTCCTTGTCCTTGATATTTTCCATTTTAAATAGTATGTGTCTTGGTGTTGTCTTTCTTGGGTCCGTTTTTTGGGAGACCTGTACATCTCCATGGCCTGAGAAGCTATCTCCTTCCCCAGATTAGGGAAGTTTTCAGCCATTACCTCCTCAAAGACACTTTCTGTCCCTTTTTGTCTCTCTTCATCTTCTGGTACCCCTGTAATGCTAATATTGTCCCATTTGGATTGGCCACACAGTTCTCTTAATATTCTTTTATTCCTAGGGATCCTTTTTGCTCTCTGTACCTCAGCTCCTTTGTATTCCTCTTCTCTAATCTCTATTTCATTTACTGTCTCCTCTACTTCATCTAATCTGCTTTTAAATCCCTCCATCATATGTTTCATTTCAGATACTGTATTTTTCAAAGTTTGTATCATTCTTGAATTCCTCCCTGAGTTCTTGGATATTTTTCTGTAACTCCATGAGCATGTTTAGGATTTTTATTTTGAAATCTCTTTCAAGAAGATTGGTGAGTTCAGTTTCACTTGGTCTTCTTTTTGGTGTTTGTGTGATTTATGTTTGAACCAGGTTCCTTTGACATTTCATATTTGTAGATGGTGCTCTCTATTGCTCAGAATCTCTACTCTATGGAGCTGCTCAGTCTGTGGAGCAATAGCAGGGTTCTCAGGCAACTGGGAGGAAAGAGCTCTTTCCTGATTCCCAGCTGCAGTGCCTGCCTCCACTGCCAGGGCCAGTGGGCCAAGTGCACAGGGAGGAGTCCCTCTATGCTATGCATTTGTAGCTGCCATAGGTGAGGCTGCTCTGTGGCTGTCCTGGCTCAATAGTGGGGGTATCCAGTTTGCGAGCCAGTGCTGGCCTGAATGAAAGAGCGGCAGGCTGCATATTGTGGTTGGGGGCCTCATAGCAGCATTGCCAGCCAGGGGGATCGAGCGCCAGAAGTTGCTGAAAGTTCCCAACCTGCTGGACTGAGTGTGCTGGCACAATTTTGTCCATCTGTCATTTCTCCTGAGCAATCCTTGCCCATTTAGCAGCCCTCTTGCTGTTAGGAAGTTTCTCAGACTGCCTGCCTTTCTTTTGTCCCAGAGTGACTGGTTGTGGGTACCTGTTCTCTACAAGCAGCTGGAATCTCAGTCTCTCCAAATACTCTGCCTGTCTTAGCTTTCCAACCCCACTAATCTCCAGAGCACCAGGTAATTGTAAGTTCGTGCTCCTGGAGCAGATCTCCAGGGTTTGTTCAGCAGTCCTAGGCCTCCACCCCTCCCTGCTCTATTTCTCTTCCTCCCACCAGTGAGCTTGGGTGGGGGATGGGCTTGGTTTCCTCCAGATCACAGCTTCGGTACTTTACCCTTTTCAGTGAGATCTGCTTTTTTCCTCAGGTGGAGGCATTCTACTGCAGCCTTCTTTCCTGTTGCTCTTTCATTATTAGTTATATTTGCTATATTTTCATACTATCTGTGGTTTGGGGAGGAGGATTCTTGTCTCACCTCTAACGCTGCCATCTTTAAGCCAATCTGTCAACTTCTATTTTTAAAATCCTATTAGTTTTACTGTGATTACATCATATTAGTATATTAATTTTGAAAACAATTTTATCTTTATAAAAACTGGATTTCCTCATCCAAGAATATAGTATGTCTTCCCATTTGTTGAGATCTTCTCTTATGTCTTACAGTAAAAGTTTATATCATTTTTTTCCAGTATTGGAGTCTCCACAGACTGACCCTAACTGGGACAGATTTCTCCTGCACATGTTTTAGGGTAGTTTCCTCCAGAGAGGATATTCTGTGGATATTCTCTGTGGATATTTCTCTCTGTTTTATATTTTCCTCAGTATATCATTTTCTTGATTTCATTTTTTCTTGTTTTCCTGTGTTATTATGCATTTATTCTTTTATTGAAAGATATAATTACAAATTTATATAGGTGGATATTGATGTGATGGTGGCAATGGATATGGATAAGACATACATATATATTCTGTAACCATGGGGTTTTAGTTGGAAGTTAAGGTGGATTCCTGTGCTCAGTCTACCATCTTGATTGGCATTTTGTATATTTATTGTTGAACTGATTGCCTAGAAGCTTCAGGGTAAAATGTTTATTTCTTAGATATTGAGGCTCTTCTCAGTTCCACCCCAAGATACTTATATGAGATATATTTTGGAAGATAAGACAGTAATACACATAAAGTTATCTACTTGTGCTTCTCCTGCATGCACCTAGACCACTGGTGAATTGTAGTGATGGTAACAGTGGATGAAATGTACCAAAAAAGTTGTTTTTATTGTTATAGCTTAAATCATTGAGTGACACTATCAAATTACAAAGTGAAAATTTGGAAATAAGCCAGCTGACCACAAAATCTTTACAAGATTATTCCTGGCAAATAAGGTAGGTTTTGGGTCATTCATGTTTTCGTCAAACATTTATTAAGTAACTTCTTTAGACAGAGTACTGCATTTCCTATAAGATACAAAATAAGAAGAAGATATGATCACTGTTTTTTTAGGCATTTACAGAAATAGTTCCAACCTTAAGACCCATTTTCATGTAAAAATATTTCACAGAGTGTCATAGTAAATTAGTGATAACTTTAATATCTATTGATTTAAAAATGTTAAAAACTGAATTTACTAATGTTTTTCAGTTGATTTAGATTATATTAATCTCAAGTATGTGTATATATTTGAAAATTAGTCCACATACATATTTGTGCAAGAAATCTTATTTGGTCTAAAGACAGTACTCAAAGAGCATATAAATTTAAATGCCTGATAAAAATGCAAATATTATCTTTATAAATACATTGCTGAAATGGTAACTTGTCTTTGGCCTGGACACTAGGCAAAAGGGGAAAAGTACACATTTGAAAATTTATAATCACAAGCCAGTGTTTCTGCAGATTTATGACCTGAATTTATACTACTTATATGTCTAAAATCTCAGGCTTATAATTTAACTTAAAGTGGCCCCATATTGGTAGTAACACCTAACAATGGGCAAACCCAGTAAATATTCTTTCTGGAAGAGCACAACTTTAACCTCACCTCAGAGATCTTCCACAGATGTGAAATTCTAAGGAATATGAGCTTACAATAAAGAATGAGTCAGGAAGCTAACAAAATGGTAAATAGGCAGGTAATTCTCGATGAACAATGAAGTAATGATATAATGATATCTTATGGGTTATCAAAATATAAAGTTAAAATATATAACTTATAGAATGGAATAAAGAATGGATGAGGCTAAATGTAGTTAAAGATACTTGCATTAACCAGGAAAAGTGTAAAGGTAAAGCTTAACATTAGCCTTTGATAAATCAAGGATTTTAAAATTTAACTTATAACCTCTGGAAGAAAATATTCTAAATCAATATCAATAGATTGATATTCTTCCAAATCAATAAAAGAAAACAGGGTAATGAAAAATCAATAGAAGCTTCCAAATCAATACAAGAGGAAAATAGTAAAATAAAAAAAACTCAACCAATCTAAAAGAAGGCAAGAAAATAGAAAAACAAACATAGAAACAGTGAGACAACTAGAAAGCATAAAAGAAATGGTGGTGATAAGCCAAAATCTATCTAAATGGGTTAAGTACTCCATTTTTATCTAGATTGATAGACTGAATTAAAATTTAAAAACCAAGAATCCAGTTGTATATTACTAACAAGAGACTTATCTAGAACATAAGAATATACAAAGTTAGATAATAAAAATAATGGAAAATGTATAATACACAAAAGCTAACAAAATTAAGCTGGCATAGCTATGTTAATATAAAACAAAATAGATCTGTAAGGCAAAAAAGATAAAGATGGTCATATCTGTCTATATATCTATATGTATACCTGTATATATACACATACACACACACATATACATATATGCATCTAATATAGCTTCAAAATATATAAAACAAAATTCATCAGAAATACAAGGAGAAATAGCAAATTCACAAACACTCTGGGCAGTTTTAACACAGTCCTCTCAATAACTGATGGAGCAAACCAGAAAAATCTCAGGACATTAAAGATTTGAGCAGCATGATAACATGTATTATATATAATGCACTTAATAGATATATTTATACAATATTGCACCCAATAACTGCAAAATACCATTTTCTTCAAGAACACATAGAACATTTACAAAAGTGGACCTCATCTCAATAAATCTCAAAGTCTCAATATAGTCAACAGATTTAAATGCAGAAAGCCAATACAAAAAAATAGCTAGGAAATTTCCATGTTTGGAAATTAAGAAATAACATTTTAATAAAAACATCTAAATCTATTTGTCAGTGAAGGCATATTGATAATTAGAAAATATTTTGAATGTATTGATAAACTAATGTGTTTCAAAACTTGTGAGATACAGCTGAAATAGTTCTTAGATCAAAATTTATTTAAATATATATATATAGTAGACAAAAAGTTGAAAATTAATGAGCTAAGCATCCTTAAGAAGTTAGGGAAAAGGGTAGAAGAAATTAAGATCTTAATAAGAAAGCTGTGATAGAATTAATAAACTCAAATGTTTGATGAAAGTAATAAACTCTGGCAAGGCTGATCAAGAAAAGAAAAAAGGAACTGCAAATATACAGAATCAGGAAAGAAAATGGGACCTTTGCTGCAGGTGTTGTATATTTTACACAACTTTATGCCAAAGAATGTAAATATTTACATGAAAAGAACGAATTCTCTACAAAAATACAAATAAGGAGCCAGGATGGTGGCGTGAGTAGAGCAGTGGAAATCTCCTCCCAAAAACACATAGAGCTATGAAAATATAACAAAGAAAAATCTTCCTAAAATAGAGACCACAGGACACAGGACAACATCCAGACCACATCCACACCTGTAAGAACCCAGCGCCTTGCGATGGGGGTAAGATACAAGCCCCGGCCCCACAGGACCCGAGCGCCCCTCCCCCCCGGCTCCCAGCGGGTGGAAAGAAACCGGAGCGGTTTTTTTTTTT